ATATATACATATATAACACAATATATATATAAAACATATATAACACAATATATATATAAAAAATGAAAAGAATGAAATATAAGCTAATAAAAGTGAAATGCAAATGTCAATGCGCAGATATATTCAAAAATATATAAGATAGAAATGCAATAATAATAATAGAAAAAGAGACAAGAATAGGGCAATTTAAACAATTTAAAATAGGAGAGTGTGTGAAGGAGAATGAAAGAGAGAGAGAGAGAGAGAGAGAGAGAATACGAATAATATTTGTAAATAAAATCCTTTTCTTAGCTTTGTACATTGATATATAAATGCTGAAGAGAATAAATTCTATTCCATTCTCATATTAGAATCTTTAAATGGACTTGGATATATCATAAAAATGGTGTATTATAGATTATTATTGATTGATAGTTTGTGTTGTTGGTGCTGATTTACTCCTCTATATACTCTTACGATAGATTTTCTCCCTTAAACGCTCAAGCTCCGCGTCGGCATTAAACTCGTGTGTATACCGCATAGAAAGCGATGAGCAACGTGAGAGGAGCGCGACTTGGCCCCGTGATAGTAAAGACGCAAGATCCAGCAATCGCGAAGGCCCGAAGTTGCTCTTCGAATTTCACAGGGATGGAAAGAGAGGAGGGGGGGAATGGAGAGAGGGTTAAGGCGGTTTTAATTATCGCTTAAGACACCCTCGTAGCGTTAACCCCGTACCGTACAGATACTGACGGAGGGCCGCCCCCTGAGGATATCGTTTGCAGTGCACGGTTACGAAGGAGCAATTCAGGGCTGGGGGATAAAGACGAGGGGGATTTCGGGAGTAAGGGAAAGGGGAACGAGGACTGGGAACTTGTACGCTAACGTCACACTCGATTCTCCTCGCTACATCGGGGGTGGAAGTTCGAAGCAACCACCAACCCTACCGAGCCGCGAGAACTTTGCCGCTACTAGCGTGGCCGTCTGCCAGATACTTCCTCGAGCGAATCACATGGAGGAGGAAAGGGTGGCTCGAGAGGGGCAGGGTTGTATCCCCGGGTTTTGCCGCTTATACGACGATTATTACGGACGTTTTCGTTGCCTTCGTGAGCGCTTCTAATTTGACATTATATATGGAAAACGTGATAGACTATCCCATCGACAATGTTATCTTAATGATAACAGCTATTTACAACTTCTTGACGTTATTTATTGTGCATATCGAGAGTAATTCAGAGAAATATATCGAAGAATCAACTTTGACACTGTAAACTGAATATTATTGAATTTCACCGACATTTTCACCGAAGCTTTTTTGCAATCTACTATTTGTATATCATGAATATATTGCAACAATTAGAAAATATTTTTATAAAGAAATAGAAAAAGATATGTAAATCAGAATCTGGTCAAGCCATTCTTTTTTATCGAAAAATATTTTCACCCGTTGAGTGAGGTGATATTTTTTGCATAAGTTATTTGCAAGCTCTTAAAATGCTTATATTAGCATTATTAAATTGACGAACAATCTAATTTGAGATTAATATTTCCGCTTCAGTTTGCGATTACGTTTTAAATCCTAAAACAAACCGAATCGTCGCAGAATTTATAAAATTGAAAAAAGTAATTTGCAAAACATTTGCATACTAATATTTTTAAGCATCAAGATCTACTTTGATAAAAAATGTAATTATTTCTCTTAATTGATTTTTCAAGTGATATTTTTAATCTAACAAGATTATTTTTAAAAAAGATTTAAATTAAATTCTAAGAAATAGTATAAAACAATATCTCCACAAATAGTGTGATAATAAGTCAATGAATAAAAAGCAAATTCTTTATCATTCCATATATAACATATATGTATATGGAATATATAAATAAAATATAATAAATAAATAAATATAATACGCTAAACTCAATTAAAAACGAGAAAAATAAACCATTTTATGATTCCTTATCACCAACTGTATATGTATTAAAAAAATATATGGAATAGAATTGATTACGTAGAATATAACAGCCAATAACAGCATCAGTGTGTCACATGTCACATCGGGCCAGACTCTGACTCGAGTTTCTCCAGGCGGAGAGGAGGTAGTCGTAGAATGACAGTGGCGTATCTCATGAGGGTGGTCGGCAACTGGCGTCGGGGCGCCCGTCGTCTTATCGGGCACCCCCTTGCCTGTAGCCTTCCTCCAACCCTCTTCATCCTCTCTTCGTTCTATCCCGTGTGTCTCCTCACCGTCCTTCCCCCTCACCTCGTCGTCGTAGCGAGCCCGGTGACGCCTCGACGCGCTCACCCAGAAACCGACGATAAGGTTCACTCGGCGACGCCTGCCTATATCGCCCGCTCGTTCACATACGCACACCGATACGTACACGCAAACACACATAGATACACACGCAGATACACGCGCGAGCGCATTTCGCGCGTAGGAATTGATATAAGAAACTCGGGAAAAGGGAGGAGGGTAAGCGCCACGAAACCACAAATCGTGCGACGCGTTATCACGCATGCTGATATCGAATACATCGCTCCTCTCCTTATCGGGAAGGATTTCTGGAAAGCATTAGCTTACTGAGCAATATCACGAACAGATTTGGAGAAGATAATGCTTATCGGTATTTTGACAAAAATTATGTAAATACTATTTACCTTGTGATTTTTTTATTAATCAACTTTCGATTAATTCGAAAGAAAATTTTTTGATAATTGCGAAAAGATACTTTGAATCTTTTTGAAATGATGGATTTTTTTTCTGTGGACAAATCTTCGGATGTTAGCGATATAGCATTTATTTATTATTACATATTATATTTTTGATATAATAACATTTAATATTCAATATTAAATCTTAGTAGACAAACTTTGAAATTCCAAAGATATAAGACTTGCTTTTAGTATTTAACTGTACAATAAATCTCTTTAATTCTATCCTCGAATGTTAATCCGTGAAAGAGGCTCTTAGCACGAAAATTATCGTAACTATACAACACGAATAAAATGATAAAAGAAGACTCGAGATTGCCCGTAATAGCCGTTCGCGCGAAAGACGTTGATAATAGTGCAGGATGCGTTTTATTATTACAGTAACCGAGCTCGAGGGTGGCGCGCACTCGGACGAGACGAATAGCGGTGGTGACAACAGCAACGCTGGCAGCGTGTCAGGCGGCGCCGATGACGACCAGGCGCGTCTTCGCCTAAAGAGGAAACTGCAAAGGAATCGCACGAGCTTCAGCAACGAGCAGATCGATGCTCTCGAGAAAGAGTTCGAAAGAACGCATTATCCGGACGTATTCGCCAGGGAAAGACTTGCCGGCAAGATCGGCCTACCGGAGGCACGAATACAGGTGACTATTCAGCATAGCATCCTTGATTACAAGAATGTTTAGATCCATTTTCACAATATGTGATTATCCAAAGATTAAAAGTTATCATCAAGAGATTCATTAATGAAATTCATTCATGAATGTCTTGGTACTTTTAATCTGTAGATAATCATATATTGTGAAAACGAGACTTAGAAACAGATATGTATTCAAAGAAAAAAATAGTATCAGCAACTAAATTAAAAGGAAATAGTATTTTATATTATGAAATTGTAATAAGAAACATAAAAAAATTATATAAAGTGAGAAAATATTTAATTAATTATTTGTGAATATAAATAATTTGTGATAAAATTTGTGAATATAAATAATTTGCGAAATAATAATTTGAGAAGAATGAAAAATAATTTAGTTGGGAAAAAAATCTTATTGATAAAAAGTATGTCATCACTATAATAAGAAAACATAAAATAATATAACGTTTAATATATAATATATATAATTGTAATAAATACAATGAGAATGGAGAGTATGAGGAAATAGTCATGTAATAATCTATAAATATGTCTACGAAATATTATTAATATAAAAGTCGGTCAATATCATTAATGAAGAAATATAACATTAATCGTTTGTAGCAAATACGTACGATGACTAGAGTACGGAAAAAATGGTAACGTAAAATGATTTGATTAATAAAAAATATTATTTTTGGATGTGGATCATAGGATGTCATTACGGCATAACTTGGCATGACTTAAAAGTAAAAGAAAATTATTTATTTAAAGTTTAAACTGAAAGAATACATTTATACTAATCTACTGCATGAAGTCTATATAATACTGAAATAGCAAAATTATATAATTATATATTATATAATTTTGCTATTTCAGTACTATTTAATAGTTACATATAACAACTAATGAAATGATATCTAATATTAATATCTAACGTTGGTGCTCCAACATCTACTGCCATGATTATACTTTGACAATTTTTAGTACTTTCGTTCTCATGCTTTTATAAGCCTAATTACGGGGATACTGAAGCGACAGTCAAATTTGATAAATGTCGATAATATAGACTTTTTAATTCCAAATTAAAAATCGATAATAGCGAAATTTTGAACTCATTTTCTTACCTTATCATTCTATCTCACTCAAATATGTACTTCTGATTTAAATTTAATATATTCTAGCGCCATCTCTTACAAGATCGAACATCTATTACTAGACACAATTACTGCTCTGCACTTCACGTGCATATGTGCATGAAAGCATTTTAATTTAAATTCTTTTTTTATAGGTTTTTAATCTTAATTTTATTAATATAGTGTTCTTCTTTCATGTGTTCCGCATTGTTTCGTTTCACATATATGACTTACAATTAGAGAATTTTTTACTGCTCAAATATTGTTGTGAGTTGATATCTGTATTAGTACGAATGCAAATATAAATAATATTAAATGTAAATTTTTTATATTTATTCTTAGCATAAAATTGTCAGTTCCCATTATTTCCCAACATGTCTACTTTTGTATATGTATAAGATTTTTATGATTATTCTGTAAAGACAATTTGAAAATAATCAAGCAAAATATAAATGTCAATAATTCGCTTCAGCATCCCCTTGACTCTTCACTAATGTAAAATTTTCAATCTAGATTCCAAAATATGAGAGAAATATTGAGATTCACAACAGATTTTTTATTGTTTCAGACTATATAAAAATCTGAAAAAAAATTTTTGTATATTTGTGAACCAATAAGACAACAAATTTTTACCTTAATAGAAGCCGGATTGTATTTTACTTATTTTGTTTATGAATCTTTACATGCTCATTAAAATCAAGCATCAAAAAGAATGGGAAAAAAATCAAATTTTTTATTCGTATAAAATCTATTTTCTTAAAATTCACAATAAAAAATCGAATGTGCCTTAAAAGTATATTGCTGGTGGGTTACATTACGGAGGTATTATTATTGCAAAATTATATTTTATTTTCTCTGAATGTAGGATCGAAAAAACTATCGAATAAATGACGAGAACAGTCTGATAATTTAAGAAAATTAATAATTATTGTAATATATAATATATAATATATGTCAAGGTTATTAAAAAAAACAAAAATCGTAATCGTTTAATGATTTTAGTGAAGTTAAAACCGTTTATTGAAATATTATAACTAAGTATGAATTTCATTATTAAAAGATTTTAGCCTATTTATGCGAAGGTTTCAATTATTCTAAACATCAAATTAATCATCGTTTTTAAAGACACAATGAATTTTTTAGATATTTTACCAGCAATTTATAAATATTTTGTTATTTGTTATTGTTTCAATTCGGTATAAAAACCCACTATGTATTTTTAATTCTTAAAACTGCTAATTACAACTTGTGATTATAGCTATGTAAAAAAACAGAACAGTGGTTGACAGAACTGTTCCAGTGGTTTTCTGAAGAAAAACTATTTTTTGTAACTGTAATTTTACTATTTTAATTTATTTATTTCTAATTATAATTATTTCTAATTAATGTTGATTTCTTATCATTCTTATTGAAACGTCGATGTTTAATTTTATATTGTCCCACGCGTATATACAGGTCACGATCAAGATCGAAGATCTCGATAATGTTCTTAATTAACATAGCGTTGACACATTATGTGATTAAAAGATCTTCGCAGGGAGTAACGCGTTTTCGCGACGAACCATTTCATCCACGACTGTTAGCCGATACGAAAGTTATCCGTAGCCTAGTGATTGACCTGTATCTTCGTCTGTCTTCTCGTTCACTAACTCAGGTCTGGTTTTCGAATCGGCGGGCCAAGTGGCGGCGCGAGGAGAAATTGCGCACGCAACGGAGGGATAATCCACCACCGCCACCGCAGCAGCAGCAGCAACAGCAACAACAGCAACAACAACACACTGCCGGCGTGAGTCTAGTGGGTGCTGGCCATCCGACGCCGCCGCCACCTTCGGGGATACTCGGGGGCCAGCCGCCTCCGCAAGTACCACCCTCACCACCTAGAATACATCATGGATTTGCGCCCACCGCTGTGTACCCTGGAATACCCAGCATGCCTGATTCGTACAGGTGAGAACGCAAAAATTTGATGTTCATCCTTTAAAAGTTTTTCCCTAAACTATTCGAGATGGATCCGGTACTTGGATCTGCGATCAATTGTCTAATGGTTACTTTTATCATTCAATCTATTTTATTTAAGTGAATTACACATAATATTTAATAATTCAACTCTGTATAATTTTGACATAATAAAAAAAAACTTTCACACTACAATTAGAAAAATAATAATTAAAAAATTGAAGAAATATAACACATAAACTATCATAAAATACAAAGGAAGTAAGAAAAATAAATACGTTGCGTGAACTAAGAAAATAATAATGTTAACTATGTGTAGTAAATATGATAAAATAAAATAAAAAATAATAATGTAGAATAGACTTATTAATGAAATACGAAAGTTATTCCAAAAGTATAATGAGCAACAATTTTTTATAAATTAAGATTTATAAACAATACAACATAACACCTATTACCGCAATTGTTTAAGAATGTAAAATGAACAGCGCACTACGTGATAAAATGGTCCCACCATCAAGACATATTGATTCGAGCAAAACGTGTTACTTTTTGCATTTCATAAAGAATTATTTTTGACAAAGGAAAAAACGGCTAGGATCATGTGAATGCAACAATTATGAAATCACTTCCCTTGATAGCCCGATGACGTCGATGCCGAGTTTCACGATGTCGGGCGCCAGTCAACAGAATCAACACACGACGAGTAGCATGTCCTCGCTATCCACCGGGGGTGGCATGAGTCCAATGGGTATGACCGTGGGTATGACCGTCGGACCGAGTCCTGGCGCGTGCCTCCAACAACGGGACAATGGCTATTCCTGCGGAGTCGCGAGACCACCGAGCTACGAGCCCCTTCACCTTGGTTACGGCGCTAGGCCAACCTGCAGCCCTACGCAGCCCTATCACGCGGCGAGCCTCAATCAGTACAATCAAAACGCCAGCTCGACCGGTGAGTGTCTACCGCACTCACTGCATTCGCTGCTTGCACTCTAGCCGATGGACTACTACTACGGCTACCATGGATAACACGCTATCGAGCCCGCCGGTAATGGATTATACACGCTTCTGTCACTCCTTTATCACCCTAAATGTCTCATCCCCGATCGAACGGTTTCGATCGTTTCGATTTTCCTTTTTTGCTCCTTACCTGAACATCCAGTACAAATGTGATCTAGCTTCATATCCATACATTACCTGCATCGCATACATCAGCCGCCTGAGAGCTTTTTATTCGGTAATTGTAAACTGATTGTAGATTATATCAA